ATCATCATCATTATTGTCAGTATCACCAGATTCCACTTTTCGCTTTCTGGATCCCGATCCCTGATAATATTAGGAAATGATTTGTAAATGAAACAAAAAGGTGATTTTAAGCATATTTTAGAAAGTATTTATCAAAATTTTCAAAACTGGTCATACTAGGAAAAATGGAACTGCTCAGTAAACTTAATTTTGATTAGATTTGATCGTAAAATTCTGAAACTTAGCTTAGGAAATTTTGAAAATTCCATGAACATGTCAGATAAAAAAAACTTCAATTAATATATTTAAATTTATGATGTCATTGTAATATGCGTGAAGACTGCACGGTTTTTTGGAAAAAAAATGGTGACACAAGCTACAGAGCATTACCTTCTGGTTTACTGACTGACACCAAAAAAGCATGCTCACCTTTTTACTTGTTTCTGTCGTAATTTTTGCTTTAGGTATTGTCTCTTTCTTAGATTTGGTTTTTTTGATTTCAACAAATTCTTTTGATTTTACCTTACTTGCTGATGGTCCCTGTAAATTACAGCATGACGTGAGATTCATTCTTACGGGGTGAGATTGATTTTTAGAAAAACGACTATATTAAGGAATACTGGCGACTTAACAAATTAAAGTTTAACCTCATTTACGAAAAGATCATCCATCTTCTCATGGAATTTTTTCTTGTTCTCATCACCTGATCGCATCAAACTGTTCTCAACATTCTCACCATTATTGCTCAAATCTGATTTATTCGCGGACTGTTCAGCCTAAAACGCGACTTGAAATTCAAAAAGTGTGTCCCTAAAAAAATGTAAATTCCTTTACTTTAAAAAAGATAGCTAACTAACTCGTCGTTTTCTGTCTCCAGTTGTTGTTTTCTTGATCTCAACCACATCATCATCGTTCTCATCTATAACGTAATCAGATTCATCGAAATCATCACTACTATCAGATTCCCACTTATCTTGCTTTTTTTTTGCTTTCGTATTTACTGAACTGCTACCTCGATCTGGAAATTCGTTACCAACTGAAATAACCATTAAGTTCGATATTCTGTCCAAATTTCACCTTTTCTCTGTATTATTTATGCTTTTTCAAATAGGAAGCTCTTCTTATCTCCTGAGGTGTCAGATTACCGAAATTAAAGTTACGTCTAAATAAAATTTTTACAATAACTATCAGACAGGATGATGAAGTCGTGTAAGTGAAATTAAGGCAATGAAGAAGATACAAGCTAACAAGGGAGGGAATATCACAAAGACATCTCAGTATCTATTCGTAATGCATTGTGAACCACGCCAAGAGGAAGCCATACCTCCATGATAGTCCCGGTGAAGCTTACCAAAGTTTCAACCCTAATCTTAGGTATATATATATATGAAAAAAATACTACACTGTCGGTTCTTACAATTAAGAATACTACAACGTCCTTCTCGCCCATCCGCCATCATTGGACAGCAAGCTACAATATCCCTTCCTTCTGCTAAATACACTTTCCTGCAGCACAGCCCCAGTTCAATGAAGAACGAACTCTTATATATCCATCGTTACGTGACCTATCAACAAACCGACAGTCAACTATTATCGACAGCAACGACAAGGAATTTTTTAGTTGATCGTATTGCTTATTTATTGTGTAACTCATTTATCACTGCTTACCAATTCACCGCGTACCTTATGCTTTTGCTGTTGTTAACTAGTAATCCTGTGTAAAAACAATATTACACTCCGAATAAACCTATATTGCTGACAAACGAAGTCGACAAATTAGCTTTCCCGATAAAAGATAAAATACTGGGAAGTGTTTTTTTTTTTTTTAGTGTTTTCTTCGTCGATATCGATCAGCAAAACCTCCCAGTTCCTGAAGTACACGACACTAGCGTTGAGATAGCATCCCGAACTATGTCAGCCTTTATCAAATATAAAATGAACTTCAAATTTACCATTTTCTTTTCTTTGACGCTTGGGTTTCTCTTTCTTTTTCCCATCCTAAATATATGTGAAAAATATATACATATATTTTTCAAATAAGTCTATATAAATGAAATACGAAAACTTATGGAAAGATGCAACCTCCTCATCGTTCTTATTCTTCATTTGTTTTGGCTCTTTTGGTACTCTTGACTTCCTGGCTTTTGGTTCATCGGTCTTCTTTCCTTCATATTTTTCTTTAATAGCATCTAGAGAAGGATGAACACGAATTCCGTTTGGATCAGGAAGTACCTCCTAAACAACCAGAAAATCATATCCAAAACGATGGAATGTCAAGTTTAGGAAAACAATTATTCAAAAAAAAGAATGCTTGTGAATAAATCAGTATCCTAATAAAAAGATTTGTTTACGAATTAGAAAACTTAATGCTAGACAGACAAGGCATCTATCTCAGAAATATTTATTGCACATTTTCTTAGTCTTTAAAACACACTTGCACAAGAGTGCCCGCTTTTTTACGTCCTCCTTTTGTGGCTGCGCCAGCAATTTTTTTAACAGCATCTTTTACTTGCATTTCTATATCAGCTCTTTCTTTGGCTTCCTGGAAAAGACATGGAAATTTGCCCTTGTTTAGCAAAGACTGCCGTTTAAAATGAAGAAAAAAAGAAAAGCAAATATAACCATCAAACCAACCTGCTTTTCTAACTCAACCAAAAAATTATCTAAATCTTCTTTCCATAGATCAGACCAAGTCTTTGATTCTAAACTCTGAAAAGAAACAACTTTTAGTTGAACCAAACTTGAATATTCGCATTAAAAACAAATTTCAAAGAGAGGGAAGACATGGAAATCACAAAATATACCTTTAACTCCTCTAACTTCAGTTCGCTATCGCGTAACAGTTTATCCTTTTCTTCTTCCGACAGTTTTAGAATCGCCATACCTACTAAATAATCGTAATCACTCAATTTCTTCGTCAAATCCTTCATCACTGGAGAAACAGATGATTCTGATTCCTCCTTAAATAGTAACATTTAATCAAGAAATAGTGAACTGTAACACTTTTTAACCAAAGGTAACTAATTCTGAGAACCATAAAAACTTATAGCAAAAAGTTATACAACAGAGTATACGACATCAAGTTTCTTCCTTCTTTGTTGTTCCGGAGGAACGTCTTTGTTTTTGGAAAAAAATAGATAGAGGAAGAGAAGGAGAGAGGGAAGAAACATAAAACACCATCATGTAAAAAGTATATGAGTAGAAATGAACGCAGATGAACAGAATAATTATTCCTACTTGATACTACAATACTTTGTCCATACTTGAATAATAGTATGCATAACACGCGTGTATAATTTATTCGATAAATCAGAAACTAATGTTCCAAAAGAAAACAAACCTCTATTTCACCTTCCATTTCTTCGTCATCCACTTGGATTTCGCCAGTCATTTCAAGTTCACGCTTTCTCTGTAATTCTTTCCATCGTTTCACTGGATCTGGATCGAAACCTTTTTTCACTAGCTGCTCCACTATTGCTACTTTACGTTTGTTCTCAATTAATATTTCACCTTTAATTTTTTCCAAGATGAAGCGTGCCTGAAATGTTAGCAACTGCTTGGAATTAAAATTGGACACTTTCGGTAATACTATTTCATCAGAGCAAAAACGACCAGTAACCTGAAATTCAATTTCCACAATGAATCAGAAAGTACCTGATTGCTGAGTCGTTCGCTCTGAGCCCGGAGCATGCCTTCTTGGAATGCTTTTCGTTCGATGTACTTTTTTTTCCTTATCTCGAAAAATTCTTTACAAATCTCTTCCACATTTGGAAATCTTCTCAGGCAACCCAAAGGATCAAAGAGAACCTACAAATATTTCACAACTGTATTTAGAGAATGTTTAAAGTTTCGCGAAATTCTTACAAGCGAATGTGTACTATACGCTCAGAATAATTCAGGTCTATTATTTTAGGTAAATATTTTAATGTGTGCTTCCAAAAACAGAAAGTTTCGAGTGATGAAAAATTCATTAGGTGCATTTCCACGAACTAGCACATCTAACTTCTATTTTCATCGATTATATTTCAATTAAACTGCATACCATGGAGCTTATATTTATTGCCGACTGCAGCTTAAATATTTTGTGCAGTCCTTCCATTTCTGCCTCTCTCAGTTTTGCTGCATTCATTTTAACAACAAATTTAACAGTTGTATCAGTGTGATATTCTTTGAAATCCCTGAAAATTTCCTAATAATGCATGCTAAATATGAGGAACAGTCAAATTGAAAGACGCAAATATGTTCATAAATCACAAGAAGTATACTGTATTAGAGGAGGCTGTTTATCAGATCCTTCCAGCATGGGTTCTAAGACAGTTTCTTTGTAGTTTTGCGTCCAAGTTCGTATTGGTAATTCCGTGATTTCGATCGTATCGTCACTCAAAAGAGCTATTTCACCACTACAAATATATCGCGAGTCATCTAATTTCTCAATGGTTCCACGGAAATTCTTGAACCATGGGGTCTAAAAAGGAATGTTTACAAAGAGAGCACAATTTGATGAGAAAAAAGTTCAATTCGCTGATTTACATTTGGCATATAGAAAGCTCTTCTTTCCATTTTATTTAAGGTATGCATATTTAGATGAAAGAGTAAACATTCAAAAATTTCCTGCATCTATAAATATGCGTAACATTTTCACCACTAACTTTGAAAATTCAATTAATGAAATAATGAAAAACATACCAGAGATTTGGGTTCTTCACCACGTATCAAGCGCCGCATATTATCAACTATTTCACGTGGGTTGTAGTTTGGTATTTTCGTTGACCAAGCAGTACCGATGCCTTCGGCTCCGTTAACCAAAACTGTAGGTATGATTGGACAGTACCTAAGAAATAACTGTTATCAATAGAATATTCAAATTCATATTTAAAACGTCTTTATTTTTAATTACAAAACAAAGCTCACCATTCCGGTTCAATTCGCTGATTTTCTTCAAACAAGAAGCGTAGAACATTTTCATCAACAATCGGGAACAGCGCTCGAGTTACAGGACTGAACGAATATTTTATAGCAATGAATCCATAATCGAATCACCCATATCTCAATTTGATGATTCGAAAAAAATTCGAACAAAGGAATGTTCGATAAATATACATGCTTACTTGAGCTGTGTGAAAATATAACGTGGACTTGCGCTATCCTTTCCACCCTGCAAACGTGTACCGAATTGACCGATTGGTAACAACAAATTGATGTTATTTGAACCAACATAGTCTTGTGCTAGATTTACGATCGTTGACATGAGTGAAGCCTAAAAAATTCAAAATTAGATTGATTTGAAATCTATAAAGATTCCCCCGCAGCACACAACAACTGAAAGCTAAAATTCAGGTACCTCTCCGTGATGATAAGCAGACATTTCTCCAACTGCACCAGCAAGCTGAGCTACTTTCACTTCTTTTTTATCTGCTCGTTTGAAGCATGTGAATAACACCTAAAAATAATCAGATGGAGCCCATAAAATAATAAGTTTAAATAACAGAAGTAAAAAAATTCACATCAAAATCAAATTTCGACACATCTCGAAGATTTGAATGAAATTTACATTGCGCACACCATGAGAAAGCTCGCAAATAGGGAATTCATTGTATATGCTGGGACTCTAACTACGAAAATAGAAAATTAGGTACTAATAAGCTTGAAGGTAACATAACTAACCTTACGTTGTCCAGGCTTTAATCCATCAACCAAACTTGGTATGGACCTTTCATTATCAGCATTTGAAAACAACACCAATTCTTTATTGACAAAATCTTTGAATGAGACAGCACGAGTATCTTTGTTGTACAAATACTCCTCCGTCAATCCTTGCTCACGTCTTGCTTTTTTTTCCTGAAGAAATGACGGAAGGGAATTGCCAACTGTAGGCAGAGAAATATGAATTACAAAAGCAATTCCCAACACCAACTGTAGTTTTAAGAATGTGTTCTGGACGTGACGCATGTGAGCATTTATTACTTTTTACTTTATGAAACAAATCTGACATAAGCAAAGTATAAAAATATGTACTTAAACTTGTTACAATCTATGTGAATATAATATACTTACAGCCATCCAATTCGTTAACCACACTTTTCGATCTTCAATCTTCTTTTTACTAAATGCCATATCTAAGGAATTATCATCTTCTTCTCCTGAGTACTGAAATCTAATGCGATGACGCACCATATCGGTGAAATATTCTTTGGCTTCCTTTGATGTAGAGGTACCCAAACCTAAACGACCAATACGCACAGTGCTGCTGTATCATAGGAAATCATAGATTCCCAGAGATGGTGCAAACCTTTGTAATATTTTATGCGATACGTTTTCCAGTTTTCAGTGTTATTTCGCCATTCAGCGTATTCTGGAAGCGAGAAGAAAGAAAACGACTCTTTACCCTTGGTAGCCTACAAAAACCGAAATTATACAAGACCATAAATAATTGGAAGAAACAAGAACTCAAACTTTTAATCATATACGAAACACTCACCTCCTACAAAACATTAGTATTTTACGTAAACTTAAATGCATTAAAAAATAAATTAAAAATCTTAAAAAGATTCATATAAAATATAAGCTTAAGCACATTTGGGATTTAATTCGCTTTTATCATGTTTCATCACAATTCTTTTAACCAACTTCAAAGCCATGGATTATTTTAATATCCCGAAAACAACAAACAAATCGAATGCATCCATACTTACTTTAACAATTGGTGTTATAAATTCTTCAACAAAATTACGACGAATCAGTACCGGCCAATTATAATGGATAAAATTAATCACAAGACCTTTGATATGTGAACCATCCTGATCCTGCAGTGAAGCTTATTTAAAAGCAAAGTAAAAAACAATCTTACCTAACGAAGTGAATAAACAAAATTAATTCAATTACCCAGTAAAACATTATGGCGACAAAAAATAAATTACCTGATCAGCCATAACCATTATTTTTCCATAGCGAAGCGTTTTCATATCCTCATCTTTATCATATTTCAAACGATACTGCAGACCAATGATTTTGATTAGAGCATTTATTTCTGCATTTTCCATGATCTAAACATGATCACCTAGAAAACTGAGCTCTAAGGAAGCCTTCAAATGTTTCTACGATTATTTAGTAGCACCAAACACACTTATCTACTACAATTTTATTCGTTTTCTAATCATACAAGACAAATTCAAGATGATGAACCTGATTTCTATTCGAACAAGTTGTAGAATAGGTTCCAGAATGAACATTTTTTTCATATTTGAACACAAAATGCATAAAAGCTAATATTATACATATGGAACCTATCACATGCTGCACGCATTAGATGTTCTGGCTGGTAAAGAGAAAAAAGGTTAGAGACACCAAGGTAAAAATAGTACTTGTTTATGGCTGCCTTCACGAACATTTAACATTTTGCCGCGCAGTGGAAAGACGCCATAACGATCACGGCCAACTACACCCAATCCCGAAACAGCGAGTGACTTAGCCGAATCTCCTTCAGTAAGTATCAGCGTACACAAAGAGGAATTTTTAGTCCCAGCGTCATTTGCATCCTCTAATTTCGGTATGCCCTGGATAGATGCATTATCACGAAAAGCAAGTCTATTAAGCAGGTAAATAATTCGAAACCAAACTTTCAAATATTTGAAGACAAAGCGAACTAAAGCAGACCTTTAGTTTACTAGTTTTCTTGGTTGAACATTTCTTATCTAACGTTTCTTGTTGTTTGAAGCGGACCCATGCCAAGACAGCTTCAACAATTCCGCATTTCATAACTGCATTGATGAATCTTTCAGACATTTCACACTTGCTGCCAAAATTCTTTGCTTGTAAGGTCATTGTCTCTTTTGTTTGGGAGTCAAACGTTGGATTCTCGACAAGTGAGTTGACAAAGATCCACATATGACTTTTAATCTGGAATAAAATTACTAGAATCCATGTCTAAAGTTATATGGAAGCATTTCTTCTAAATAGTAACTCTTTCGTTAGGGTTTTTATTCATCGGCATGTCTATCGCGCAACAAAATGAAATAACCGATAAAGATAGAGAGAGTAGTGCGAAAAGTTAAGCAGATTTATCAGTAAAAAAAGACCTTGAATAATAACCAAGTATTAAACACATAAAACTTTACTTGGAACGGCTTAACATTTACTCCACTTTTTCCTACTTTCTTTTTGATTGTATCTATCAGCTTAGCTGTGATTTGATCAACAACGTAATCAACATGACGACCGCCCTAAATTAGAAGAACTGGATTTTCATTTTTCAATCAGTTCGGTATATATAATTTTATTCAGATCTTGAATATTGCAGTAGATATTTCTTCAGTTTATTTCAAATTTTTAACCTGTAGCTTTGGTCTCGTCCAAAACTGGAGTTTTCCTGACTTCACTTTTCATAACAAAGAAAAAATCTACGAAATCTTAAATCCATTATATTGTGAAGTTCAAAAAATACTTGAAAACATAAAACAATGTCTGAGAAAACAAATCCCAATAACACAGCTAACCTTCGTGGTAGCGATCGAATTCACAAAAGAGACTTGCTGGAATCCTTTTTCGGAAACTGTTAAAGCTACTTCCCATCTTTCATTAACCTGTTCATAAGCAATTTTATATGGTTCTCCGTCATTATCAAGATTATGTTTTGTGTACTGCTCTACATATTGTTTAAAGCCTTGCACCTGAAAAAAATCAGCAAGAACTGCTGCGGTTATTTAAAAAAAAAAAAAAACTTTAAGCAAAAAAATTTTGCTTATTGTAAGTGAAAACAAAAGTTCATACAAATTCCATACAAATTTTATACTTAAAAGAGTCATTTTTACCGGCAACAGTTTGCCATTCAAGTATACTTTGACACCTTTTGTTGAACCAGCGATATCATACGCTCGGCGTGATATCAGCGAAATAATGTCATCATCCAGTTCAATCATTTTGAATTTTGTGAGGTCCGGTTTGAAAGTTACATGTGTAAAATCTTCACCAACTGATTTACTCACAAATGGGTCTTTATCCTTTGTCATGTTATTCTTCCAAGTCTTAAAAAATTACCATAAAATTTAGCGAAAATTAAGGGTCAATTAACCAGACAAGAAAGATCAAAACATTATGCACATAGACCTACTTGCTTGAAGGCTTTCCCATATTCTTTGGAAGATGTCTCAACTGTAAATTCTTTACTGAATATATTACATAGTTTAGCACCATATCCGTTTCGGCCACCTAAAAATCATTTTCTACAAAACTGTTCAAAACGAGAAATGAATTGTTATACAAAGCTTATGTAAAAGATTATAACTATTGGAAGAATAAATAAAAAGTTCCTGAAAAGTCACATGAACTATTAGACAATTTACTATTTCCATCAGATAAGATTTAAGGAATCTGTAAGTCAACATCGACAAGGGAACAAATGTATAATTAAATTATCCAATTGAAAGCAATATCTACTTGAAACATAGATCTACAAGAGACTGTACCTGTCACTTTCCGTTCACTGTCATCATAATTTGAGGAGGTAAGTAAAGTACCAAATATGAGTTCAGGGACATATAACTGCTCCACCTTGTGCAGTACCACAGGAATACCTTTACCATTATTGAAGACACTGATCTCGTTCGTTTCTCTTTAAAAACAAAAATCTAATCCAATTATCTCCATCCTACAAAGTCATTTTTTGATTACACAAAAAAGGACAATCTCAAATTTCTAAAATCTCATCCACACTAAACCACTGAAAAAATAATGAATAGCTTGACTAATGAATAGCTTAACTATTCGAGATACGGAACTTTCCAAAAAGCTCATGTATAATATGTTCGACATGCATTAGCGTTATCGATATGGTGTACTAAATAAAAACTTTGTTACCGAAATATTCACATGTACTTTGACCGGCAAACCATCATTAGGATCAGTATTAGTTGGAGATTGCTAAAAATAAGCAAATGCATAAGAATCAAACTTATTAATGTTAATTCTGATAAGATTCATCTTCGGATCGCGTTGTTTGTTGTCTGCAGCATTTACCAGAATCTCGTCAAATATTTTGTACAAACCAGGGACATATGAAATATCACGTTGAACAATTCGTTCTACTTCAGCATCGTATACCCACATTGGCTAAATTTAAATAAATGTAGAAGGTAATAAGGAACGAGTTAAAAAAAATGAAATTAATGAGATATATTATTTGAAGCGAACAAGATGTGACTGAATAACACAATATTTGTAAGGCTGAAAATTTAACTTATACGAGTTCTACGTTTTCAACAGCGGGTTATATACCAAATGTTCTATTCATTGAAGCGCTAAAAGAAACGCACAAGAAAAAACTGTTATCCATTAGCGGCTGTCAATACTATAGGCAGTGGAGGAGTACAGGATTAGCATAAAACTGATATGTGGATTCACTAAATTACCATAAAAAGGCACGGATCTTCACTACTTTTTTTTTGTTTATTAGCAAGATATACCGCTTTATCAGTATGCTCAACGGAACCAATGTATGTATCTGGACGTAGCAAGATATGTTCCAGCTGACTCTTTTTCTGGTAGATTTTTTCAATGGTTAATCGTTTGGGTTGCTGATCGATATTCGTAAAAATATCTAATGGATCACCATCGTCACTCTTATCACCATTCATGACTACAACAAAGAGATTACATAAACACGGCCAGCAAATATTTCGGTTTTAAATGAAACTATGCAGATGATACTGTCATTAAACGATGTCATAGAAAAGACCACAAAGAAATATTCTACAACCTGAATTGCCATTAATTTCCTTTCTCGATGTCTGCTTTCTTTTAACTGGTGGCTTATCCCTTTTCTCGATTTGCTTCTTGGATGCTTTTTTTCTTTGAGATGAACCAAACTGAAAATGAATATACTCAGCAATGCATAAACTCACAATTCACTTTAAAAAATATATCTTTTTATCCATCACTACCATTTACAACTCTAATTTTCTATTTCTATGCGTTTGTTTTCTGCTTATACAAACAGGTATTCCTTCATCCACCAAGCAGTATTTCAAAAGAACCAGAAAGAATTTTAAACAAGAACTTTTAAAGATGATCATAACCGTCATGCTCAATTAGAACATGGTAAACTCTGGAAAACTAAAAAATGACATACCGAAGAATGGTAGTCTGATTCTTCATCGCTACTCATTATCAGCTAATGAAGTATAAAATCCGATTAATAGAACAAAAAGTTAGCGCTAAGCGTTGCTCTGAAAAGAGAACACAATTACAAATTCACAAACTTCATTCAACAACATTTATAACCAGATCAAGAACACACATCAAGTAGCACCCAATAAAACATTGTCAACTGGCAACAGTAAAGTTGAACAACTTAAGAACAAGGCGACTTGAAACGAAGTATTACCTAACAAAAACTTCTGATACTACGTTCCCATTACACCATGAGGAAAATTACGCTTTTAACTGTGACATCTAGTAAAGAACGAGAAAGCGTGCGAAAAGTGAAATGACAGTTATGAAAGTGGAAATGTTGAGTCATTATTGAAAAGAAATGAGTAGCTAAGTAAAAAAATTGAGTAAAGAAAATCGAACCAGCATTTTGTGCTGGGTAATTGGAGAGTTCATTTTCTTCCAATATTTACATAATAATGTAGTCATTTTAAAAAAAAAGTCCAGGAAAAAAGTCAGAAGTAACAATTCTAACGGATACGAGAATCTGGCATTTTGATACTGGTCAGTTTCTTCCATGTCCCGTCGAAACATACTTTATTACATCAGGCTCGTTTGTCAATCCAGCTCGCCCGTTGCAGCCCAGTTACCAGATAAAAATCTACCAAACCGCGTACACAAAGTACGTTATTCCGACTTGCCTAAAATGCAAAATTATTATCTCACCGCTTGTTATATTTATATTTTGAATTAGTAAGTTTATTTGGAGATGTTTTCCCTTCTTTCATAATCTTAAGAGAGTAATTGGGCCTTCCACTTTAAGTTTTCTGAAGCTTATCGTTTTAACTTAAAGTTTATTAGTTTAGGTAATTCTTGTCAGACATGTCCTCTTCAGGTGATTCCTTTCAAAAGTTATCATTTCCCTCTATTTGCATATGCTTGTCTATAACTTGGCTTCTTTTATCTGTTACTTCTTTTACCAGACATAGACAGTTGTTGTAAAGGTATTAAGAACTACATCTTCACAGCAAGTTAATAAATGTTAGCTGTGTCGATGCGGTAAAGGACAGATAGAAAGATGACAGCTTTTTCAAGTATTTCAGTAAATTCAGATGTCAAAGTAAATATAGTGCATGAAATTGAAAAACAGGGCAGAGAGAATTACATAGGCAAAATATTACTTCTGGTCAGTTAGACGACTTCATCAAATGTCGCCTTGGATTGCGTCTATAGTGCGAATTTTCTCACCATTGTTGCATTTAAACAAGATGTTTTGTTATCCATTTTCTGGGACATCTAGCTTGTCGGCTAATGAAAGGATAGAGCAACCGATATTTCATCCAGTGAAATAATGGAAGTTTAAAAGATTCTAATAGAAATTTCGAATGCTTATTATATGTCAATGTCGTATAGCACTCATTGTTGAATGTGATATTTTTCCTGTCAACTCTGTATTGTATTCCGGAGAGTGTTGGGGAAGTGTCATCTGATAGAGGAATTCATGTCGTTCCTGCCATCCGACGTTTTACATGTCTGATTTAAAACTTCTTCAAAAAACTGCTGGGATTATAAAGCGAGTGATGGAATGTAAAACTATCACGAAATTGTCACACTGCGGGACAGCATTAGAGTTTAGTGGTTTAATGGTAGACAGAGAAATGTTCCTGCAAAGTGATTCATCACTTATGTCTTAAAAGAAGGACTTAAAGAAGATTAATTAAAACTTGTCATGTTTATCTAAATTAGTCCGATGTTATCAGTTGATAAGGAGGCTGATAGCAGAAGCAATAAGGAGGTAATTCATACAAGTATTTATCAGTTCATATAAATTTCTGTCTAACCAGCAAACATTTGTCTTTGTGGCAAGTGGTAAATATTTGGAGATTTTGACTGACTCATTTGTTTAAGAATTCTAATTATCCCGAGACATCAAAATTTCCGGTGTCTTCAACGGTGGATAATATTCACCAACGATGCAAATCCAATACATTTGTATCAAATTCAATGTTTGTATCAAAAAGTTCGCGGCTTCATTACTATTCATTTTATTCCAAAATGTACTCTATCAAATTTGGGAAATTCAAAAAATTTATTACAAAACATTATGTGACCCTTTCTATTTTTTGAGGAAAACAATAAATGATATTTTTTCTGAGGAAACAATAAATGATAAATTTTATTAATGACATGGGAAGAGTAGTAGCGGTGACAAGCCATTTTAGGTAAGAAATGACCGAAGACTGCTATTCCGGGGGACCGAGAGTACTCTATCTCCAAGCAATAAATATGATTGTAATGAATGGAATACTTACAATGCCAATAACAATGCTTGCATCAGTGAACTTTGAATTTTATGTGTAGTATATGGAAGTGAATCGAACTGTATTGAATAAAATTCCCTTGCACTAGGTACCACTGATATCAGTAGTCCGAATCGATAAAGCAAATCATTTCAAACTGTTACTGCTCGGGGCTACATTAACTCCAATGTCTTAAATTCTTTGGTCATCCCTGATTCTGGGAAATGGTTTGCGGTAAAATTTAAGAAAGAAAATTGTCACATATTTATTCACCTGAAATCTCCACATATCCAGCAATTTCCATTCATTCCAATGCAATCAATGCCCATATATGCAAAAATGAATGAGAATTAGAATGAAGGTTTTATTTTTAAACGAAATGAGATAAATGAGTATGCAAATGATGCATGTCTTGCAGAACCTGCCCAGCTTAATGATATAAATTAGATTTGCATTCACTATCACCCAAGAACAAAAAAATTTACCAGAAAGCCAGTTTGGTATTTAAATCTGCACTTTTGCAAGAACATCGCTCAGCTTTTAGCACATATACTGCTGCATTTTGAAAAAAATTGTCACTGATATTACTGCCGCAAATATGTTTAAATCAGCAGATTCACAACATGTTCATACCTGTACTTACCTGTTCTTCTTCGATTTAAATTTCAATTGATGAATTAACAACCAATGGATCTTTTCTCTATTCTCTATTTTCCCTCCCATTACTGCTATTCTTCCCCCTACTGAGGGGATTATCACTTATTCTGTCAGTGTCGTTGATTAAAAATGAAATTACAAGTATTGTTATACTTCACAATTACTGAATTACTTTTTAGATGAATCAAATAAAATGAATCTAATGCACTTGAGCATATTTAAATATTCAAAATAGGTGATCCTGTGGTGGATACTCGTTGTTTGGTAGGACTATACATAAATAATCAGAAATGTATATTTATACATGATTATACTCAATCAAAAATCAGAAATATACACTTATTTAACAATTTTAGTTTCATCGTTAGGATGCCAAGAAAAAGAATTGCAGTTCTATTGCATACTTTGTAACAAAGTTCAGTATAGTCTTATAATCAGTTAATTATAGTTTTAACAAAGCCATTTAATGCTTTTCTATTATGTCTGTAATAATGAATCATTTTTGAAAGGTCTCTCGCAGATTCGCAGTGTTCAAACATTTCATACCAAAATAGTTGCGAAGTTGGTCGCATTTCTTGCTTGCGATTCAAAATTTATTTCAATGGTTTAAATTATTTCTCCTATTCTTCCTGAGTGACATTATATGCAAGTAAAAGGGAGAGAGAGAGAGAGAACTGTGAAGGAGAGCGATTCACTGAAAATCGCAATCTTCAAGTCCCTTATTTAACAACAGCCACCCATGGAGTAATAAATGAATTAAAAAGGAATCAGGCGCACTCTTGTTAATTACTCTTTTCTTTCCAATGTGAAGAATGCAATAATACAATACACACTTTATATTTGTTATTTCTTTAACCCGCCCTGCATTTACCCAATACTCCCAGGGTTTGACCCCGCAGAGCTCTTTCTCATCTCTATTATTTTCATAAGGTTGATAGAAAATATAGTAATTTATGTGTCAGTAACCACATAATATTAAAAGAAAGCATTTGTCGTAGGTGTTTTTGGCATAGGTAATGCTAATAAAAAAGCTACAAAGTCCTCAATTTATAAATTTGTCTGAAAGTTTTTGCTTTCAGAATTCACATGCTCTGATTAACCCATTTACTTTTAGCTTTATACCGGATATCCATTAGTACGATGCTTGTATGAAAAAGCCTTTCCACCTCATGTCCACCTTTCAAATCCAATTATTCCACATTCCCTTTTCTTGTTTTTTCTTTATCTTTCATAATCAATCTTCTTTCCTTTTATAACGTGAAGTTTTTCCAAACACTCATTTCAGTTATGTTCTGTAAGATATCTCTCGTAAATATGTTTGGTGATTAACGAAGAAAGATGGATGTTTTACTTGAAACAAATTCTTGAAATGTGAAAGGAATCCAAATCAAATGGCTTATTTCCAACATATCATTTTTCACGACAACTTTTCAATATTTAAGATTAATTTCTCGCGCAATCAGATTTTAGCGAAAAATTTCTCGTTTATCAATATTACGAATGACTGAAGTACTGTCTCATCTGAAGTGAACTTAGACAGTGAACAATGAACGCTACTTAGACAACAACAGAAAAATCGGTCTTTCTTATCAGGTAAGCAGTCCAAGAAAATTTCGATCACCTTTGATGACTTGCCACATAGTACACCAAACCAGTGATATTGTTCAAAATCTTGACAGATTCAGGAAAGTGACAAATGAGCCAACGTTGAAGATATTATCTCATCGAGAAGAAAAGAAAGCAATAGTGGACTGAAAGAGATGAAATTCACAGATTTTCACTCTTTCAATGCAAATTACTTTAGCTAAAGCATCATTTACAGTATCATCATTCTTTCTAACATTACCTGTGTATATTCACTTCGTTGAATCTTTGCATCATTTGTCTGATTAACTGGTTTCTTCTCGAAATGACACAGGTAGTGGTCCTGATGAGAATCTCAGTTAATCAAATAAACGATATTCGATACTTTGCCTTATCGAAGGATTTTTTCCAAATTGAAGCATTCTACAGTTTGCTCATTCAGAATATCTTTCTTGAAACTTTTTAGTTAGCGGAAATTTATAAAATAAGATTTAAAAAAATATTAAAACTAAAAGAAAATTGTTATAAATTAAGTTGATAATTTTTTACAAATGTTATATTGCGCTATTCTTCAGAAAAATCGTAGAAGATATCTAACAATTAAATAAGTAGAAAACCGCTTGAATTAAAGGAAATGTGGAATAATCCCTGAGGAATGGTCGAGAATTTGGAAGTAATTACTTGTACTTCTGGAAAAAAGGGTAGCATAGGCTTAACAAAGGAATATTTTATGGAAATTGTCAAGATAACAGCATCACTTACAATCGATCCTACTGAATATGTTGACATTCTTCACACATTCACATCACCCATATTCGTTTCAAACTTTTGCATGGCATCATTATGGCGGTAACGGGCAATTTAACTCTTCAAGTAAATTTATATGAACATCAAATGAACAATTGAGGATTATTATGATGGCTAATAGATTGAATGGGATGTTAAGGGCTGTTTTCAAGCTCACTAAAAGAGTCATTCATAATTCTGCTAATGACAAAGCCTTACTGCTGGCAATTCAACTCATTCAATTCAGTGTTTAATATTATTTGTTTTTAAACAAAAAGGAACAAGTGAACAAATTAATCAACTAAAAGTTTGTCTCCATTAGGAGCTAAATCTGGCCAAGACACTCTCAGGCAAGATTTCATTGATGACTGATAACAAACTTAACATTTTATCTCAAATTATCACTTTTCTCACATTTTCCCCCAATTTCTCTCCTATCTACCAACCATCTGTTTATTTGTTTTCATCCCAAGTAATCATTTTACTTCTTAAAGAATTTTTTTTTTGAAAATCAAACTGTAAGCATTCGTATAAAAAAGGTAGCGCAAAAGTTTGCTTCTTATCACAAATATTCGTAATTTCCGGTTTAAAAGATAGGAACTATTTTCACTCGTTGTACAAAGCATTTGAGAAACGTATGAAGGATGGTGTCAGCAATGGTGTCACCTACTTGTTATGCTTTATCAACTTTAACGACTGCTTATCTTTTTCTCGTTCAAGTGACAGCAGAACATGAAGGTTATTGCTTTCGAATGTCTCAATTTTGAAATTATCAAATCGAAATTCTGTAGGGTCATGAGGTCAATCAGTGCGATGTAGCAGTTATCTAAAAAAGATTCATTTCTTCCTGTCCCTTATGATTACTACTGTTTTGGAAGAAGAAATGTTGAAATGTATTGACAGACAGCCATGATAGCTCAGTCGGGAGAGCGTTAGACTGAAGATCTAAAGGTCGCCGGTTCGATCCCGGCTCGTGGCATCTTTTGCAAAATTTTTACAAAACGATGGTTGTTCAGTGTTACACAAACAAATGGCTAAGGCAAGTGTCCCAGGCTGAGTGGTCTAGTGGTATGATTCTCGCTTCGGGTGTGAGAGGTCCCGGTTTCGATCACCGGCTCAGCCCAATCGTTTGCAAACATGGGTTTTTCCTTAGCTTTCTCTCATGCAGATGTTTGATTAGTGAGTTGGGACTCTTTTAGGAAAGAATTTAGTAATGGAATGGTTGGTGATTTTAGTATGGTTTGTTTCATAGCCACTGGTAAGTTCCTCCCTTTTGATAACAAAAAATTCCTTTCCCTCATTCAGATACTAATCAATGGTATAGGATTTTGATAACACAGAAATGAGGTGATTCACTTAATTATTTGGTAAATCCTATGTTTTTATAGTACTTTCAGAGAGTTCGTCAAATCCAAAACGAAAATGTTTCCAATGCAATATGCCATACGAATGTAATTTAGGCTTGTGCTACGGTGATTACTGCATTAAATCACTTGGTAAGATGGTTTCTTGTCCAACTTTATTTCAAAATTATCAAAAAATGTGTAAAATTTGAAGTGTTCTGCCGTTGCTGCTGCTGCTGCTGCTGCTGCTGCTGCTGCTGCAATATAAATTCCTATCAATTAATCTCTTTTAGCAAGCGACCAGTATGTCAGCAAAGGATGCGAGAACAAAACATTCAGGTAAGAGTTGCTCGGAATACGCATTAATGTCTTAACAGTATCTGTAAGCAATCCCAGGCTAAAAGCTCATTAAATATGATGAGCTTTTTTGAAATTTCGCGAAATTCTTTTAGAATTTGTTATTTGATTTTGCTGGTGAAATGATCTTTGAACATAAACGTTGCACGAACTGTGATTTGAATGCAAAAGATGTTTTCTTGCTTCCATTAACAATTCTTTAACTAATTTGAGCTATGTTCAATTCTCAGATTGGTGAACGGTGAATCATACATACGGGAAACTTCGGAACTCATCGAGAAGCCACACTGTACCACGGAGTACATGTTCGGGATTCAAAACATTGTCTGTTACTGTAACGATATTGATTTCTGTAACAGGAGTCAAAAGCCTGAGGGTACACTTATTGTGATGTCATTCACTCTCTTCCTCATACTATTTAATTTCATTTTCTAGCTTATTACTTTTTTCTAACAAAAAAAAAACTTGTCAACTAATTTGCAATTGTGAACTCTTTTTTTTTGAACTTTCGGGATATCTTCTAAAGAAGAAATGAAACAAAGTCTATAGTTGCTGGAACTGGAATTGAAAGTATGCACAGTTTGCATTTAACAAAGTTTTATTTAATTTACCCAATTTTTCGCATTTCCCTTTGCAATCTCATACATGTTTGTGTCATCATTTGAAAAATATTTATGCACCACTTTTTAAAGCCTATTTATAAACATCATATATAAAACACATTTATAAAGAACCGTTACTGAAATTTCATTCTCAAAATCTTTTTGTGACATATTACCATCAATATTGAATTACATTCAGTGCACCGTACTGCTGACATACCTATTACAGACATGGTTGATATCATACTCATATCGACTCATAACTTAATTACTGTAAACATAAACTGTGCTACACCAATCAATTATTTTCTACCTGATCATTCTCACAGCAATTTCATTCCTTATTAACATTATTAATGTAAGGGAACATTGTTATAGTGATGAGATTAAAGTGATGCATAAAGTTTGATAAGTTATGAGCATTTCAGGTATATAAACAAAAACACAAAGTGGAATGTATGTTACAATGAGTAATGTAAATACAATTAAGAAAGTGAAAAATGAATACAACCCATCCTGTAGAAGATTTTATGATTTGTAAAACTTTAGATTCATTAGTACAACCCTCATTAATTCTTGAATAAGCGATGCCACATACAAATAGGTAATCCAGTCTTCCGGATCATTTGTAACCAGTGAACATATCCGGCTCCTGGACACATCGGCCCAATCACGCAATGTCCAATTGGAATCGGCCCATTATTACAATCAGCCGGATCAGTATCGAACATCTGTAAAGGGATCACATTACTTTCGCTCGTCCGACCATTCTACCACGATCTTATCAATTCAATTACTGGCCCGTATCACGCAGTAACGATTTGAAAGCTTGCATTATGAGTTCTGAGGGAACGTATAATCCATCCCATCAGTGATTGGACTGTTACAGTATGACAGATGAAAGTCTGATTGGATGAATTTCGAAAAATAAACTAATTTAAAGTAAATATTGTAAGAGAAATAATGGAAGTAATGAATAAACAAATAAAGTCAATCAATAATAAACTGAAAGAGAACGCTACAACTATAATGGCTTCTAGCCAAACAAGTACTTTTGGCTTTGAATTCATTCATTAAAAAAAAAAGGAAAGGAAAAGAAAAAAAAAACAGGAGAAGAATTTATGAGTAACTCACTTCGATGACAATATGACATCTATCAAGCATTTGTGGAGTGACATGAAACAAAAAGGACTCCGAAAAGATGGCATCCGTCGGTCGTATTATAAGCGTTGTATCAGAACAACCAGCTGAGGGAGAAGACAACGGAGGACTTGATGTGGATGGCTTTTGTGTGCTGAAATAGAAATTGATCAACAATGAATAAAGTAATGACAACTTAACAATCAACAATTACTAAAACTGATTGTACTTTGCATTAAAAAATGGAACAGATTTCTTCGAATTAAAATTATGTCACTAATAAATTACCATATCATAAGGTGCTGCAAATACAATAGCATGAACTCATAGACTTATCGATCCATTGACAAGTACATTTGCAGGATATAAAATTCCCAACTATTTCAATTTGGTATTCTAACCATTAAAGTTCATATATACTTCTGGCCTGCACTTTTGAAATTTTATTGCACTGATAAAGTTGAACTGATAAATGTTTCCTACCAATCAGTAGTGAGGCATCTATTACAAATAGACGTTGGTGTCACCGTTGTTTGTTTCTGCTCCAACAGACGGCGCTTATCGAACAACATTACCCGAGCAAACGGTTCTGAAACAAATTTACCTATTTGCATTTTAAGAACTTAATTTCAAATCTGAAATTTAAAACCCAACTTACTGTTATTAAAAGGTAACAACTTGGCCTTTTTGACAGTGGCTGTTACGAATTGTACATTTGGTGCATATGTTAGGATGGTTAGCACTTCTGTTTCATACTTTGTGCCCTAAAAAAAATTATTTTGCGTTTTTTTATTGAAATATTAGAAGTTTTTAGTCCAATGATTTTAACTGAAAAGTTTTCTATAAATAAGAAAATGGAAGAGGCCTTCAAGGTGTTCAATCAATAGAAACGGTAAATAGAGGGAGAGGGAGGAAGAGTGAATCACAATAAATTTTATTCAATCTTCCGTATGTTTTACAATTTTTTTCCATAAATTTGAAATTAAAAAAAAACTTGAATTAACATGAAGAATAAATAGAAAGATACAGGAGTTGTATCAGCACAGGAGAGCGACAAATCAATTTCATCCGCTTTATTATTTCTTGCTAGCACTTCCGGTAGAGTTTCCGGTTCCGTTTGGAAAATCTGTTCCTCAAATTCGCAATCAAACAAATTCCGTGGTGTATTTTCTTCATTTGACAAGAATTTCGTTAGAGGATCCTTATGTGGTGCTAGTTTTTCACCTTTTAGCTCTGCAATAGATTATCACCAGTTTAGAAAAGTTAGACCGAAATCAAAATTTAAGAATTGCAGCATTATGATAACAAAGTTGAATTATAATTACACTTTGCATATTGCCACCTATCAGCCTTAATGTCAATTGAAGAGAATACTTCACCTGAATAAAGTAAACAGATCATTAAAAATGAAGAAAGAAAAAGATTTGGCAGTTAATTAGAGCCGAATAACTTGTTAGTTGTATACCTCCATGTTTATCACCCCATTCTCGAAATTCATGTCTGGCTGCCCGTCCAAATCGATGTACTCCAAGCTTCAATTCAGTGTTAGTACGATTAGCACGAGCTGCAGGTGCAGCCTGATTCTTGCCCGCATTGATCATCGATTTTGGAGCCCAAGATGCCGATTGATCAGCACCAGCCTGTGAAGGTGGCTGAAATTCATTCAATGTTGGAACACTTGCATTTGCATTTGCACTTCAAACAATAAAGATGACTTGAAGAGGATGAACGAACCACTTTGTGTAATTGCACACCATAATGTGGTCGATTATTCAATGACTGATACTCGAAAAAATGTTTCGCTAAGAAATTCATTCCCTAAAAATTGGACAGTTAGCCAATGCTATAATCGATTGGTCATTACTCTTATTCTCTTTTCTTTTCTTCAGTTTTAACCATTGTTGTAACAATAAAAAGTAACTTGTTATTGTTCTCATTTTTTATTGAGTATTATTCTTACCTTTACAATATTGATTGCATGCGTTTGTTGGAATGAAATTGGTCAAAGAGAATTTCAATGGTGACGAAAATGAAATTTTAGTCATTGATAACTCAACTTTAATTTCATGGGACGACTATTTAAACAAAGAATTCATATCATATTAAATACATTAAAATGCTGTACTTCAGGCTTTATCTTCATCACATCCCCTCAAAAACAAAAGGAAAGAGAGGAATATGAAACGATTATATGCAAATAACATAGAGAATGATAGATGGATAGATATGGACTCCATAAGCTTGTTTTGAAGCCTATTGTTGAAATAAGAGGCTCTGCTAGGCTGAACAGATGTTGTGGGTCAACAGGGGAACCTCTCCACTCAGCTTCAAAAGTGACATCTGCAAAGAAGCTAATGATGAAAATGACATCATATTAGGTATCGCACTGCAATCTTTCTGTTTTCAGGCCGAAAATCTAAAATACGTCTTTTTATCTACGAATAATTATAATTCATGTATTTAAGAGATGAAGAAGAATTGGCTTTAGAGAAGGAATCGACGCTGATTTAACATCTGTAGTAATGGAATGGAATCCTCTCAACGAATGAGAATCCAGCGAACATTCTAAGTTAAACGTTAAACAATTGACTCCATTGGATTTTCAATGCTATCTTGACAACGAATCTGCTCGCACATCCGAGCAATCTTTTATCATTAACTTAATCAACCCATCTTGCCAAGTTATGAAAGGATCTGACGTAATGCATTGAGTTTATGGCATAAAATGCCACCATTGTCGAAAAGTGATGTCTTATAATGTGCTGTAAAATCGATAGAATCAATGACATGACTCTAATGCAGAGCAGATTGAAATAGAAATATTTCAAGAAGAAGAAGGAGAAGAGGATTGATGTTGTCGGATGATAGTAAATCGAATTAAAACGAAAATTCGAAAATTAGTAATTTGACGATTTTTTGGAAGTTGATTTTGACGAATTTCGTTGTGATTTGACGATTTTTGTGATGTTGAAAACTTGCTGTTCTTCAACACTTTCGATAGATTTCGTAAATGCTATAGCATTTATGTTATTTTTGACTTACAAATGAAACATTTACCCCTCAAGAAATTTCACGCATTAAACTTAAACTCACTTCCCACAACCCACATTTTATGAGACAAAATTATCAATTTACTGCAGCCAAGGTTGATAATTGCTAAGGATGAATTCCAAGGATATGCTATGCTCAGTGTTTTATTGGCGCAAATACACCTCCAATCACGCCATCAATAAACCAAACAATAATAGTGCATCCGAATGCAGGCTGCATTGCAATAAATATTTGTAAAATAGGAAAAATACAAAGCGCTTTAGATGGAAGCAAAATCATGGCTAACATGATATTCACACCTTAAATAATACTTCTAGTTAATAGAAGTGTCATTCACAGGCAGTATTTGCATCTATCGTTCCCACATCTTAAGCTAATCTTCAAAAGTGTATGAATAAACAAAAATTATTTCTTATTAGCATGAATCATTAAGAACATTACTTTACCTTCTTAGTTTGCAGTTATTCCGTTCTTTATTGATTCAAAAGTAAAGTCAATATTGCCATACTTCTTCAGAAAAAGAAAGATGAACAGCAGAAGGTGACGATTTCTTTGAAAAAACTAAAGCAGTAGAAGGTTTGTGCTATTTTCACGCTCAATTTTCAAGCCAAAATTTTCTTCCATAAAATTCAACTTACTATAAGTAACAGAGATTTAACACAACACATTGTCTTTATTAATTTGCCATGGTAGATGAGGACAAGAATATGACACACATCTACTGACTTTACACTTGTAATTAAATTGTAAGGAACAGGAACATCTTTCATTTTGATATTATTTTATCCCAAAGGATCCAGCTAAAATTCCGATATTCAAACAGGTAAGTAAGAAGGATTCTGATAAGTATTTAAAGAGATAACAAAACAAAATAGAATCAGAATCTTATTAGAAGGGAATTTGTAAATTTACATACTTTTTAAATTAAGGTATCACAAATCGCACTTATAGAATATGAAAATTCAAATGGAACATTCTGTTGGTGATCCAAATAGTCTGTCGAAATTTATCAAATAATGAAATATTAATAATCTAAAATTTGTCAAAAATCAGATGAAAGAAAAGATCCCCAAAGATTGGGTCAGCAAGCTAAGTGATTCCATTCGCTTAATTCATCATTTCGGTGAAGCAATATTAATCATTAGAAACAGGATGTTCTTATGTCATCTACGACAGCTTATCTTACAGCTTTCATCTTCTCACTCCTGTACTTTTCGCTAATCAACAAGCAATATGCTGTCATAATGATGTTAATAATATTCAATTGTACGGGGATTACTTCAAATTTCTTTCCAAAATTTCGCTTCTCTTTTTTTCTGGCCACAATTAAACTTTTCTATTCTGAAATTATTAATGCTTTGACCTTTCAAAGATTCAAAATAATTGCAGTAATTATACTTTATCAAAAATCGAAACAGATATGAAAGTCGGGCAAAAAATGGGAATGTTGAATAGGAATGATGTAATTTTCCAAAGTATGACTTATCTTAGATAACCTGTAATGACAGTTAAGAAATGAATAGCGTCGTCAAGGAAATGCTCTAAAGATTAGGCTCTTCTTGTGATTTCTTGTTTCTGGATAGATTCTTGACAAATATGATTCTTGAACCAATTAATATATTTCAATTATTTTAGGGAACGGACCCTTTAAAAAATTAAGAATGAAAGAAAGAAAGATATTACAAAAAAGGTAAAGGAAAACGCAAAATTGATCACCTGATATGTGAAAAAAGTTGCATCTTGGATATTGCTGTCAAGTGTAAGGCCATTGAGATAAGAGCTAAGCTGATCACTGATGTGGACTAGACTTAGATCCGTTTGAGTTACAATTCCAACTTTGTTGCTTCGCTGTCGCTCCACGGATGACAATGTACTAAAAACCAATTTAGAATGAATGTGAAAGCAAAGGTACGAACTTAACTTTAACAACAAACTTGTAATACCATTTTTTTTTCAATTATATTTCTTAGATTTGGATCAAATTATCACTCCATCGACCTGATCCACTTCATTTGCAATTTAATTTAAAAAAAAAAAGACGTTTTCTTTCCATTGCGGTCACCGACCATTTGACAAACGAATTACACGTTTTAGCGATGTGGAAGAGTGATTACAAACTTACTATTCTTTTTCTTCGCTCAAAATTTTCATTTTTCTTTTAAATGAAACAGATATAACTTGCTTTCCTAAGCCCAAGCATAATTTAAATTTTTTTTTAGCGGAGAAGATTTGGACAAATTCTTTGTTAATTCAAATTTTATAGCAAAATTTTTACATTTCAAAATTAAAATAAAGTCATGGAGGCTGATAATAGTGGTTAAGTTTATATTAGAAAAGCGTAATAAGTAGCAGCAAGTAACTGCTGCATCAAAAATAATATTAATGAGTCCAAATAATGAGAAGTGGCTTTTGTGATCTGTTGAAGAAAGCTTAAAAACGCTTCATGCTGTTGTCGACTACATTTACCATAAATTTCAAGTTTGCGAAATGACAAAAATATCTTTAGCATTAAGCACTTAAATGACATAATCGCCAATAACTTCATGACAAGTAAAAAGATTGACAGTCAACAGGGTAAAAAATGATTTTAAATGATGAAAAAGTTTGCTATAAATCATGAATGAAATTTTCAAATAAAATAAGCATTAACATATGGAAGAAATATCTTAAAGATGATATTTCACATGTTTACGAGCAAATTTGATGTGTAATCGCGGATTTATTCATATTTGAAGAATAATTTATCATTTAACTAGAAATCTGCTTATCAGAAATACTCAAACACATAATTATTAACTTTAGCAAAACTTTATCTGACTAGAGAAATCATTCAATTTGTACAAACAATACTACTAAAAGATTCCTAAAATTTATTAAAAAGAATATATAAAATATCAATAGAATCACCGTATCGATGACATTTTGTATTTATTTTAAAGTTGAATGTCAAATAGTTTTATAAAATTATGTTCAAAAAGAACTAAATGACCTTCTTGGTGATAGTAAAATTATTGTCAGAACAATTTTTAATTATTTCACTAGTAAAAATTTGCAGAAAACTTTCGCGATCAATTAAGTATTATATGAGCTTATATTTAAATTTAGTTTATCCAAAAAAAGAAATTTCAATTTATCAAAATTTACTATTTGGCTTCAAAATTTCCGTCTTTTTATTGAAGAGGAGGTTTGAACATCATAAAATTGTATTACATGCCAGAAAAGTTCCGTTTTATTTTAATGCAAGTTTCAGTTTTTTTGACATGTTAATACTGATATGTGATATGTGATATCGATATCATCTCAGTTTAAACACTCCGAAATATAACTTCGCCAAAACATAATTGCCACATATTAATTTTGAATAAGATAATAATATTGAGATTTAATATTTTTTGTAATTAATAACAAAAGAAATAATTGAGGAAATCGTGAAAGCCTTAGGATATGCAATGGATTTATGTATTCTAAAGCCTTACGCACTTTCAGGCTTTATTTGTTTAAGAAAACCGTTGCTATTAGCAGTTCGTCTACTGCTATTGTTTTAGCAGCTTTCCTACTATTCAATTCAAGAAAATGTTATCAAATTGACGCTTTTATTATTTTTGTATGTTTTTCTGTTCTTTGGGCTAATGCTCATTTTTTAGCGTAAATGACGTTTGAAAAAACGATTAGAAAAGTTCATATCAGTAAGCTGGCTAGTAACAAGTGAAAAGCTTTTGAGGGAAATGGAAAAGAGGGAGAAAAGAATTTCCTTTGGCATACTTCTTTCAGCCAATTTGAATTAAATTTCAACGATGGACAATTCTTTTCGCAGATGTTTTTGACTGCGTCATGAATGCCTGAATGGGTAAAAAATTTGAATTAAAATAATATTAACAGCTAGTTTCGTGCTGAAACTCGTACCTAACAGTATTGATGACAATATTGATGACAACTTTATAGCTATATTAAAAACAACTTTAAGCAGAAAAAAGTTCACTTTCCAGAAGCTATCATTTCATGTTTATGACAGCAATGGTTTCAGTGTTCTAAATTTATTCATTTAAAAACTTATACACTTGTTTTTCCTGTTATAACTACGATAATTCAGGAAGGAACTAGCAAACAAAGTTTGGCTCTTTACGTTTTCATCTAGTTCCTTAGAACATCCTTAAGTATCCTTAACTTCATCCTTAAGTTAACATCTTTTACCATTCAGGAAATACCTTTTATAAAGCTGATAAGAAGAGTGAGGTAGAAAATCATATTTTACGTCTCCCTCTGATAAATCGATTAATAGCTTCTTGAAAGGAATCGGAAAGAATGTAAGCAGCTAACTAAGCTTTCTGACGTGATGAATACTATAAGAAATGAATAAGTTTGGGGAAGTAAGCGGAGTTAGAAGGGTTGGCAAAGTGAAAGAGGCTAGCAGTAAACTCGACAAAAGGCAAATTGAATTTGACAAAGCATGATCTAACTGCGCCCATTGCTACAGAGTTGAAAGGAGGAAGAACGGGGAGGATTCAAAAGAAAAGAAGGAAAGTTTCAGCGCCAAATAAGAGGGGCAGGTACTGGACAATTCTCAAATTTCCTCCTTTATTTTAATTAATACAAAAATTGCTGGAGATATTCGCATCAAAGTGGTCAGTTTTATCACTAAGACTTTGCTGGAACAGTAGGCCAGAAGGGAATTAATAAGGTTTTTTGTTGGCTGACCATGGATGGACGGTTGAATGCCACATTCCACAACATTCCGAGGGAATAAATTAATGTTTGCCGTATTTTGGCCGTTTCATGTGATTCAATCCGTCAATATCAAGCAAATTGTTACTCCAAACTAATACAATTAGAAAAAGGAAAATTAAATAGTGAAATTTGAGTATTATTGTGAAAAATTTCAATTTCACATTCTAAAAACTCTCAGAAAGATTAAATTTGCATCAGAAAAATCATCATCTTGCATCAGAAAAAAAAAATTTGCATCAAAAATTTGCATCAGAAAAAATTGCATCAATTTGGAATTGAAAAAAACACGGAAGAAATTATAGAAAAGTAGGAAGTTTTGTTTTTTAAAAAATGCCCTTAGGTATTTTAATCTCATAAGAAAACACTAGAAAATACAATTTAATTTTTCTAAAATAAGTTTAGCCAAAATAAGAAAGCGGAAGATGTTATAGAGAATTAGAAAGTTTCTATCTAGTGTAACTACGTTGTGCTTATTTCTCTACCGGTGATTGATTCCTGAATGCACTACCGAATCATCGATTTGAACCATGACTGCTTAAAACATTAAAAAAGACATTGAAATTAAAAAAGATTGAGAAAATGTGATAAGAGTTCCGTGCTAATCATGCTAACCAGATAGTTCTTACGATGCAAAAGATATTAAAGAGAATTGATAATCTATTCAGTTTTCTGAACACTATTAATTTGAATATTTCTTGAAAGGTATAATGAGATTCTTCCTAAGAAGACCATCAGTATTATCCATTGCCGAGTGCACAGGAAAAGATAGTAATTTAATTTAAGAAAATTCTCATTAACATTTGCTCTATTTTGTGTCTTTCTATCTTTATAAGCTATACGATTGCATTTCAGTAAATTTAACTTGCTATGAATCGCTCTTCTGATTCTGTTGAAATAGGATGTGTTCAGAAAGTTTACTTGTTAAAATTTTTAGAATGTCCATTATCATTTACAAATTGTATTGTGAGCATTTGCTGACCTGATCTATCCCAGATTGCATTAAAAAAATTAAGACGATGTTAATTAATGAGCAAAAATCACTGTGAAATTCTCGTTTTTGTGAATGAAACGATCCCCAAAATATATTTCCTCTGGTACTTCTAAAATCTTTTAGTGAAAAATCAATAATCTCCAAAACATCTGGAAGTAGCAAAAGTTTACGTGCACACTCATATATAATTGAAACAGAGTAGTGTTTGTAGTAAATTTTTCTGAAATTCACTACAAAAAACATCCTAATGAATTGAAAACAATTTACAAGAAGTTATGGAAGGGAAGCATGTGGCAAAGCAAATTTCCGTCCTTAGATAATCTTTTTCCTTTTGTTTCTCTTTTCTACCGTTTAGGACAAAATCTTCTAATGTCTCAGACATTTTTGGATAACATTAACAACACGATTACATCATGCGAAAAGAAGGAAAATAACTATGTAAGCAAGTTAATAAGAACTAATTTAGGAGTTGTTAATTAGCATCAGAAAATACTTGGCATTTCTTGCATTCATTTAGCAAGCATAATTATAAAGAAATAAAGTGCTCACTGCTGCGATATTTGAAATATAAAAATATATGTTGAAAAATAATGGTCAAAAGCCGCTTTCCTTACTTAAGCAATTCTCTATTCAAATTGCCGTTTGCAGTTATGCTAAAATGTCAACACTGCTGTCATATTCATCTCGAAATGCCTATTGAAGGAATTAAGCAAAAAGGAAAAATTTTGAATATACGTCAAAAATGATGAAGATAACAACAGTCTTTTTAGTGTTTGGTTTTGGACTGACCAAACATGCTCTCTCGGAAGTTTACCTTCTCGAGCAGTGTCTTTCTCAGGAGTTTATTTTCTCGAGCAATGTCTTTTAAGGTAAATTTAGCAAAATTTGCAAGTTTTTTGACAAAATAAAATCAAGAGAGAAATATCCATTGCTCATTTTGACATTTTTACTAATCTTTGACCTAAACCAATTATCCGTCTCATAGTGGCATTAATGATGAGATTACTTTTTAATAAATAATAAATAAAAAAATCTTAGAAAGAGAAATAAAACTGTACTAATCGGTATCCGAATGTGTGACAAGCGATGATAAAGAGGATGACCGATGGCTACTGTTCTTCCAATCGCTCGAGAAACCTAAAAATAATGATAAGGTAACTAGCCTAAAGTACGCATTCTAGTCTGAGAAACTGTTAGTTGTACGAGTAAGTCATATTTTGATAAATCTATTATTCTTTAAATTATCGTAATTTCTGCACTATGTTCATAAAAGAAACGATGAATTAAATACAGTACTCCCTAGATGTGAACGGTAATTACATATAACTGATCAGGTCAGAAATACAAAATGATATAAGAAGAAGATTACATTGTACGAAAAGATATTATGCATATTAAACATGATTTCTGGATTTCTGATGCCCGAATGGGGGTGGTCTGCGTACTTCCCATTTACCTCGACCAGTGGTCAATTCGAATTATGCATTTTCTCAGTACTAACGCTGACTCTCACTGAATCCCTCCTATCTCTTATCATTAAGAAACCATGAGCTGAGATATGAAATATAAAAGGAAGATAAAAAGAGGCTATGGTCATCCGCCTGTGTCTGGCCCAGCTATTTTAGTTCAAAACTTGTCATTAGTTTCTAAACAAATAGAATCAATGATATTAAAAGTAAGCACAAGCAATAAGAACTGATAATCAGAGAAAATACAGATGCTCTAACAAAGCTATATAATCGGAAACCAATATTCATGCATCATTACAGCCTTTGCGAAAAATTTATGCTAATTGCAGCTGTCCCACCTGCTTCAAACCATTTTACAATGGAGCGATTGAGGACCAAAGTAAAGCTCTAACTAACAATTTTCCTCAAAATTAATAGCTGCATTCTCTCCAAGGATTGATAGAGCAATGAAATTTTCGCATGTTTTTAAATAAAGATTGAAAGGTGTGATATGAAATACTTCAAATATCAAAGTCAAGAATGCCAAAAGGCAGGGGAAATTAATTAATAGCTGTAATTGCTAGCAAAGGTATCAACAGCTATTAATAGGAGATTAATTAATAGCGAAAGTATTCAGGTAGGTAATATTGCAATTTTGAAATCTTTTTGTTGAGTTTCAGGTTGTTCTTTATTTTCTTATTTAAAATTTCGGAAAATTCTTACAACTTTTTTCCGTTTAGGATCTTTGTTGATATGCCAAAAAGAGATAGACTATTTATTTACTTACTGTATTTCGGTGGCAGATAATGATCAAGCATCAACGATGACAAATTATCATCATCCTCTTCATCATCCGAATAGAAGGAAGGAAGTGAATCCAGTTCTGGATAACAATCAAGTATTTCTTTTCCCATTTCATTTCGCAAGAAAGCATCCGTCGACGAACTTCTCTTTTCCTCTTCTTCATCGTCTTGTTTCTCACTAAAATACAAGAACTAGAAAGGAAAGGTGAAAAAGCTGCCGAAAGATAACTTTTTAATTATTAATTGTGTCGAAAAAACTATCATAAAGATGACTGTTGATAACTACCACAATTATGGCTGCTTCTAAAAGGTTGCAATGGCTAACATAAGATATTTGTAAACTACCTGTTATGCATAAAAATAATACCATACATTATGTATTTAAGCACATTATTTGTACTATTCTATAGATTACATTCTTTGAATAATATATGCTCATCATAGATTAACAGAGTCAGAAAACGTGCTTTTCTCGTACTTTTTGATTCTCTGAGTTCAAAGCGCTCACGTTTCCGTAGAAATACGTGATATTGGTGAATTTTTGCCAGATCTCGATGAAATATATGCCATTTGTCCAGTTACATAACCGTTTGATAATCTCAGATGTTGTAATTTTTCGCTGATTCGTAGATGTTGTTGTTGTGCAAAAGGGAATTCTTTGCAGGCACTGTTTTCTTGAGCTTAAACTTTTAAGTATTATTTCATCCTAAATATAGCAAATATTTCATTATTTCATAAACAGATACTACTTTCAAGTAAACTGCAATCTCGATGCAATTTCGTCGCATATCTGAACTCATCCTTTTCAATGATACATTCTGCTGTTTCACAACTGCTACTTTGCAATGATTTTGTCGGAGTGCTGTCATTTGCATCCTCTTTCAATTGATTCTGAAATTTCAAGGTCTATGACGAATTCTATAACACTGAAAATGAATAATTCCTTAGGTAATTTTCTGCGTGTTTAGGTGAATTGAGTATAAATTATAATTATGCAAATGAATATTCAAAAATTATTTTAAGATTCTCGCATGCAAAATCTGCGATAGGCGGTAGAATAATTACTGTAAGTAAGAGATAAGAAACAATTCTACTTGAACATACGAGTAAATACATCTCCAACTAAAAATGTCCAGTAAAAATTTCGTCGTCAAGTTCAGATGAAAAAATAAAGAATGGTTTATACCACATCATATTAATAAGTAAACTGTTGACAAAAGTCAAACCAAGAGTAATTGATTATAGACCTTATCAGCAACAAATGGTTTCTGAATGACGGGGATAAAGGCTTCGATATCTTCAATATCGTCCTCACTATCCGTGTCATCTATTAATATGAATTCTTGACGATTTGACATCGCTCGACGACAAATTTCATGACAAATTAGCAAATTCAAACCAAGTTGAGGACATGATACTGTAATAATATGAAATTAGCGGCTTATTCAATAGTAGAAATTCGACTTTGCAAGCAAACAATATATTAGTCGATTTAGTTAGACGAAAGTGACTAGAGTATCCTTTTCGGTGATTACTTCACTGCTAAATGTTTTACCTGTCACTAAACGTAAAATAGATCTTAACATTTGAATTTTATCATTTGTAATAATTGGTGGTGCCAAAACAAATATAGAATGAAATTTTGAAATTTTTTAAATTAACACAAAAATATCTGAGGCCATAAAAAACGGAGATTGAAAAATAGTAGCAAAAATTGAGCAAACTTAAAAATATTTGGGAAAGGAAAACCATTTGCTATGTTTTGAAGTTTCGAAAATTTTCCTGAATTTCTGAAATTTTTGTTCAAAAAATACTTTCACAACATTTTTTTAATAAAACTCACGGCTTCTTGTTAAATTTGAACACTCGTGTTGACCTACTACCCTTATTCTTGTTCCGGAATGAATTTCCGATGTTTGTTCAATTACAGCCACCGTTTCTTGCTGCTTACTAATACGTTCACCTAAATATAAAAGATTCTTGTTCATTTCGAAAGCATACTATTTAATTAGCTCAATAGAATGTAATATACAGTATGTTTCATCGTGTTTTCATAATATGTCGGAAACATTACTTCTAGTCGTTATCAATTATTGATAATAGTGACTCATAACTGGAAGATTGAAATATTTTGGATGAGCAATGTGACGAGATTTTATATATCAAAACTCTGTCCGTTAGAAAATCTGACCGTCTTAAGAAATGGTAGTGATGGACAGTCCTGTAAATATATATATTTGAAAACGAACCAGTTTCATCAACCTGATATTCCTCATCGGTAACAATTCGTCCTTGACTTTCATGACCACTGTCATTCGTTGAAGGTGATTTGCCATGTCGAGCTTCTGTAATGTCATCACCATTATCATTGTCATCATCATCATTACCATGTGCATTAGCGAAAGTACATTAAAAAAAAAAGCAAATAAAAACCAACGAACAATGCTAAGTATTTAAAGAATGAAAATTGAAGAATGGTTAGATGAAAGTTCAACCAATGATTTTCAAATAAGTATTGAGACTTTATAATCGTTTCTTTTCAAATACTTTCTAAAGCGAACCTTTTGCATTTAAATGGATGGAAGAATAAATGGGTTGATCATTTTCATTGCTTGGACAATACTTTGTACAACCGTTACTGGAAATTTGCTCGTCGCCATTTTGTCGTCGTTTGGATGAACGCTTTCCGAAAAATGCAAATGTCCTTCAAAAGCGTAGTTGGAAAACATGCAAAGTATAGTACTAAAAAAAGTTCAAAAAAAAGTTTACATAATTAAACTTTGAACAGTATTTGATAGCCATTCATACTTATTTTTCAGCTTAATGATAGAAGAGTTCCTTCGTGGGTCCTTTGATTCTGAAGACGAATGTGGTGAGTGATGTCCTCTTGCTGCTTCACTGCCTAAAATTCTTTCACAGATCTGTCAACAATCCTACATCTTATATGCATTTTCAGGTGGTTATAAATTTCACGACCTGAAATTGCATGCAATTTTACGAAACATTTACCGCTACTATTAAATATCGTTGTTATTGCTTCATTACATTATCAATTACTTATTAACTGTCAGATCACATTGCGTCGATCTTCATTAAGTGTTAATACTTGACATTGCTAATGAAAGTATTCATCAGTTACCGTGCTAATCAGCAAGGGAAGTGAAATAAACCTCGATCCGATTGCTGACTGCGACATTGAACTCCACTATCTGCTAGTAATCTATTTTGATATCTTAACGTTTGCAGCAATGACATTCGTCGACGGCGATATAGGTATGAATTAGAAGAAAGGACCAATGTTTGATCCGAATCACTGCATGTATCAGCTATAAAGTGAGCATTTTCTCCTTTCAAAATCAAATTGAAATTTATCGAATTCTTTGATTGCTAAAATCAAACCATTTACTTTTTAAACTAATCACTTATACTTGCCAATTTACTAATTCATCCAGAATTACGATTATGGAGAGAGTTTTGCAATAAAAGATTACCATTTGAGCCATTATGTTCGGTAGAACTTAGCCTTTGCTTGATTGGTACGTGTTGGATTATTGGCAAACAGAATGGTTCTGAAATTAGAAATATGAACTTTTGGAACAATTTTTGAGGGAAAAATGCAAAATTTTGAATTATTTTATATTTAAGTTAATTGAGATGGAAAGTACTAAATTAGACTATCAGAAGTGAAAGAACTTGTTTAAAAACAAATTTATCGCACATTTTAGCCGCAACATGACGGCAACCTAAACTTAGCTTACCGAAGAGTGATTTGCTTGGTAATTGAGAAAGATAAGTTTTTTGCCCCTCCGAAATAGGCATTAAACTGTGTCGTCGTGGATGTGTACCTTTGTTGTTTCTATCAACCATTAATCGATACAGTATGTAGCCATTTATCATATCCGTCATGATTCTTCCACCTACCGTTTCATTCACCCCACAGTATCCTTTAACTGTTAAGATAGTAAAATTTCCGTCTATGTTAGAATTTCAGGAAGCTTCGATACGTTAGGACGAATATAAGTGGATAGCATCGAAATCATTCCATCGAATCCCACGTTATAAACTAATTTTATAGCTCTCTCTTAATTTTTTCACAATACAATTAATAAACAAAATGCTAGATTTAAGGTATTTTACAACTTTCAAAGTGTAATTTGTATTTTGAAATGATTGTTTGAAAAATCTGAGTGAAATTCAAAAAGCGATAGTAAGTGTCAAAATGTCAAAATTAATCTTTTTTTTTTTCTGGAAATGTCCACTGACCAGGAAAAATTAGCTAGTGATGCTAATTTATTATTTCAGATAATCTTTAATACAAAATCTCCATATATCACTTTTTATCTTCATCTCTTTTTATCATATTGGACTGTTCAAAATTTCTCATTTTAGTTTTCTCTGAATGGTAAACTTTTGAGGTGGAAGAATAGTATGCAGGTGAAATTTTTAAAATTGAAGGGAAAAAGAATTAACCAAATGAGTAATGAGAGATGATATTGATTTAAAGAAACAAATAGTTGATGTATTTTGTCTAGACTTAATACTCGTCGTCCAATGATGTCCCATAGGAGTAAAATAATGCGTGGGTTGGAGAAATGGAAAATAAATCTCAAAATGATTTAATAAAACTACAAGCAAATGGCTTTACTTATCCAGTATGTCCCCAAGTTTTATTATTGAAATGTAAATGTATTTCCGCCTACTCCGTGAACACCTCTTGCAAAAGTGGCAACAAATTCTTCCCATTTCCTCTCTTATTTTGCGGTAGTCTTTGCATTACTTTTAAGTTTTGCTTATCGATTTTTCGCTGTAAAAAACTTTACGTTTTCCTATCTTACGAGTGATTTAAATTCATTTCCAATTCAGGCACTTTGAACAAAAAAGCAACATGAAGCTAAATGTGACAGGTAGATTCCCTTGCTTTATCAGAGTTCCCATTTCTTGAAAATTGAATTCAAGGTTTAAACGGTCATACTTTTTAGGATTCTGCCATTCAAGATTCAAGAAATTCATGTTAAAATGAACTGCAAGGATTATCTTTTCTAACCTAATCCTGCAGTGAAAGGAAAATTAAAACTTTAAGTTGAAAAGAGGATTTTCAGCGGACAGAGTAATCATTTAATTAAATACTTATATGAATGGTTTTTAATATGATTTCTTTTCAAAATACTAAAATGTGCTTAGACAAATGAACGGCAATAGAAAATTAGAAAAGCACTTCCAAGAATTTGTTATACAATAACGTTGGTGTATTATTAGGCATTATTGATGTGAAGAATCAAATAATGACTTCAAAATCACGGGACATCATTTGTTTAGTAGAACCTTACTGAACACTATCTATCGGTTATTAAAGAAAAAGGGATTAGTGCAAATAAAAGACAGTGAATAATCAGCACTCTCTTCTGAAGCTTCCTATGTTTCACTTAACTTTGTATCTTTATTTAGCTAAAATTTGCATCTCTCAAGTTTTAACCACCCTGAATGAAATTAGCAACTTGAACTTGGCAATGCACATTACATGCTAATTATGGGTCAAATATTTAATATCTTTGACCTATCCATTTTTAATACGTAATGTGAAACTTTTAATGCCTAATGATAAACATGAAATACACAAGCAGCAGTATTGATCTAAGAAGTAAAGAAGTAAAAAATTCCAAGTTCAAAAGTCTTGAATTTTCAAAGTTCTAAATTATATTGTTTTTCGCTACTGTAAATCAACAAATGTAAAATAATTGAACTCGATACGGATAAATAACAGTCAGCTCTCTCCCTCTCTCTCTCTCTCTCTCTTCTTTCACTGTTAAATACTACCCGAATTGTTTTAGTTTAAGTTTTAGTAAATTT